GGGGGGGAACGGCAAGAAGGAAAGCAAAAAGACTGGACCGCTGGACCCGCTCGGGGTGGGCAAGTGCGCGGAGCTGAGCAAGGCAGTCGAGCGCCAGGCTGGTGAATGCGGCTGGCTCCAAAGGCTCCGCAGCTTGGGGTGCGCAGGCAGTGCCGGTTCCGAATTCAGGACAGCAGCTACAATAGCCCCCCACACCCTCCCCCCCCAGCACCGTTCCTCCTTCGCGCAGTCTGGGGGTCGTTCCGACTAAATTTCTGTCGTCTTCAGTCAGTGAATCCGTCTGTCTAAGGCCTGCAGGCGCTGCGCTCTGAGCCAGTGAGGGCAGCGCCTTCTGCAGCCACCCTTTATAGAAAGTCTAGGGGCCCGCGAGAGAGCCAATGGGGAGCCGCAGCTGAACCCCCGCCCTGTCCATCCGGGCTGGGGAGCCAAAGGGGTTGGCAAAGTCTTCTCCGCTCCAGTCTCAGGCCCCCTCCTTTCGTAGCTCTTCCTTGGCTCCCCCGCCTCCCTTTTGCTGCAGCTGGAAGCCCAGACTTACAGGATCTTCTCTTGGCAACCCCCATGATCCGCCTTCTTCACCTCCCTTTTGCCTTACTCGCCCTTTTTCTTCTGCACCAGTGCCCAAAATACCAGCTAGGAGCTGTGGCGCAGGGAACTGAGAGGGGGCCGCGGCGACTACCAGTGGCGACTGGGCAAACAGACCCATGATCTGACTGAAAAGCTGGATGCCTCATTTGGTACCAGCGACCTGGGTGGCCGTGGAGGGTGAGTGGTCGCCAGGAAGGGGCTTCACAAATTTTGGGGTTGTGAAAGGAGAATGAGGCAGGGGTGAGTCAGAGAATTGGGAGGGACACTGTAGAGTGTCTGCGAGCCCAAGCGAGGGTCTCCTGGAAGGGGGTGAACCCAGCATGATGCCGATGCTCTGCTTTTCCAACGCGCAGCCACCAGCTTTAAAACCGAGTGCAATGACCCAGGGGTTCTGCATCCAGCCTCCTTGGAAGACACTGCAGTTTCCTCCGACACCCAGAGAGTGCCACTTAGGGAACTGGATGTAGCAGGTTAGTAGGGAGGCTGAGTACCAGTGCCCAAGAAGGGTTTAGGATTTGGGAAGCTTTTGCAAGTTGATTCTCCCAGAGTCTGATGCTGCAGGAAGAGAGAGATGGAGTTCAATTTTTGGAGTTGCAGTGGAAAAGAGTCTGGGAATGGTGGTTCCCAGACTGCTTTTTCTTTTGGGAGTTTTAAACTGCCTCCTGGAGAAGGGATCTGGAAACACTTGAATCACCATTAGAGCAACTGAGCTGCCTCCCTCGAGGTGCTTGCGGGGGAACACAACAGTGCCCTGAGCCTTTCAGAGTACAAGAGTATTTTTTTCCTTATCATCTCCCACCCCTCCCCCATTAATTTACAGGTAGAGAAATGGAGGCTTGGGAGGAAAAAACGCTTAAGGAAGGTCACAAAAATAATTAGCTGAAGCACCAAGACTAAAAATGAGAAGGGTGGAGACTGGCAGTCCAGAATATTGTTCTCTGCAGCAAGCTGTCACTGAGAAATCCTGGTGTTTGTTTCAACCAGTGTCATTACTTCCTACCCACCCCCTATTGCCAAGGGGCTGTGGAGAGAGTCAGCAGAGGAGTCAGTAGGAGAACCATCCAATGTCAATAACTGCTTGTTAAAGCATAAGCAGATATTCATTATCACTATCATCATCTATCATCATCATTATCAACATCACCCAGGCATCAGAGATCACCAAGCAGCCACAAAAGAGGCAAGCTAACTTCTGCCACACACATGGACGTGTGTGTGTGTGTGTGTCTGTCTGTCCTGGCCACATTTTGCTGCTTATGGGTTAAAGAAGGGTTAAATAAGAGATTACAGGTCTTGCAACCTTTCTGGAGTGTCCTGGTCTGTGGGGAGATGGTGCCTGACAGGTTAACACCAAATGGTTAATCAGAAAATCTAACTAAAGCTAGGTTTTTTGAATGGGACTTAAGCTTTCCGTATATAGACCTAGGCTTGGAAAAATTATATGGTTACCAGGCAACTTCTTTAAAAATAAAGAAAGAAAAAGACAAAAAAAAGGGAAAGAAATAGGAAAGCTGTGTCTTATTTGGGTGGCCCACAGAACAGAAATATACAAATAAGCACATTGAAAGGAGATAATAAATGTTGACTCTAACACATAGATCCACCCTAGAGCTGGGAATCACTGATCTCTAGTTTGATCCCTTTGCAGTAGTTTCTAAGGTAAGATCACCAAGAGACATCATCTGAGCATTCAGGAGGCATTTTCTCTGTACCTGGCCCTGGGCTGGCTTCCCAATGGCCCCAAAGAACTCCAGATTTAGTGGGATAATGAAGGGCATATCAATATATAGTCTAATATAGCACTTCTAAAATCTAACTGGAGAAGTACAGAGGTTTTGTGGCAGTGGCCAGTGTGGAGGGATCAAATAGGCAGAGGCAGAACCCAAGTGCTGAGATCTTGGCCTTTGCCAGCCTCTTAACTATGGTTCTTACCTTCTTTGGCTTCTCTGAGCCAGTGTCCTGCATCTATCAAAAGGAGATTGGTAATACCTAGCACCCAAAGAAGTGAATGTTCCATGCAATGGCATTACTAGATTAGATTCAGCAAAGAGAAAAGTAATGCTGATTATATCTACATCTTCAAACTTCTGACCCCACTGCCGTCTCTCTGCATCTCAGGCCCTGGATACCCTTGTGAACCTCTTGACTCACAGGTTCTCAAAGCTCATTAACTATCTGAAACCTTGCACAGCATCTTTAGTTAGTTTGGAGACAAAGGGGGGTCTCAGACCAGTGAGCCCATCCATGTACCCAGTCCATCAGTGGGAGAGGGGGGCTGCCTGGCTGTCTGTGGGGAATTGGAAGAAGGTACAAGTATAATAACTCAGCACAGTCTCTTTTCTTGAGCAGCTTACAATTGCTCAAAATAGAAGAATCCACATCCAGGAAATAGTTAATTCTAGGCCAGAGCAGAATTTGCAGATAGTCAATGTAAGAGGAGCAAGTATAGGTGTGAGGTAGGGGCTGAGGAGAATTTGCAGAAGAATCAGCAATTTAGCTGGTGTTTGAACTACTAGATGGACAAAAATGAGCAGAAAGGAGAGAGGGAGGGTGGTGAAACTTGAGCCCCCAGAAAGCAGGAGCAAAGCCACAAAGAGGAGAAATGCTCCTGGCTTGTTCTAGGGAGGGGGAGAGAAGAGACGGTTTTGAGAGGAGAGTTCAGTAGTTGCAGTTCCTATGCATCTGTCTAACATTTCACAAAATAATTTTCTAAGTATTTTTCATGGAGATGAAGTGACTGAGAGTTGAGGAAGCTAGTTTTGCTGTGACCGGTGGGAGAAGGCAGGCTCCCAGGCATAGCAACAGCCAGAATAGGCATATTAGTTCATGAGATCTTCTCAAGTTATCTATCCACCTAGCTCCTGGCTTTGCTCAGACAAAACAAAAACTAAAACAAAAACACAAAAAAATCCCAGTTCTTACAACTCTGCCCCTCTGGAGGTATTTAGTCTTAGCCACTGTAGACCATTTACTTTCTAAAGCTACATCTCACAATGAGTTCCCTCTTTCCTCTAAGATCACTACTGCTTCCTTTCTCTATCTTCTAAGTTATAAAAATACAAAAACATGCATTCAACTACACAAAAACCAAATACACATAAGGCATACAGTACCTATGTCTTTCACTAGACCACCAGTGACAGCTCCAATCTTGGTTTCCTGACTCTCGGTGCAGTTCTCAGTCTCCCCAGTAGATTCCTGAATGCCCAGTTCCTGCTCAAATCCTGACAAAGATACAAAAATGTCACACCTGCTCCAGGCAACCTCAACATTCAGTGGGGCTTGAGTGAAGTTTTCCTTGTAAATCCAGGATCCAGGGAGCCAGGAAGGACTACAGTGGTTCTCCTTTGTCCCAACATCTATTTATCTTCACTCAGACACGACATCCTGTGACACAAGGGCACACCCTGTTGCAAATATAATCTCTAATACTCATCTTGCCCCTTACCATGTTTTTCTGTCTTAGTATAACCTTGATTTCAACTCCTTATCTTCTATTGACTACCCTGTTATTGTTATTGCCTCAATCCCCATTCAGGCCTGGTGCCTACTTGGAGCCCTTGCCTAATGTTTGAGTTCCTGTCACCTATAGATAAGCTTGCTTGTGATGATCCGCCCCTTCTTACTTTCACCAAGAATTCCCAACACTGGATTGCCCACCAGATTGGCCCCTCTGGTGCTGAGAGATTGTGATGGACTCATGACCAAAAAAGCATTCATGTTCTTTGGGTACTGTGCCAGGCTCACTAGGCTGTGCTACCACAGCTAGCAACTTCTACTAGGGTTAGTACTCTCAGCTGCTTGACCCACTCCCATGCAAGGATCCCAAGCCAGATACTAACTTCATCCCCATATTCTATCTAAACGATCCATGATACTTCACATCTAATTTTACAAGTTTCAAAGTTCAAAGGCTGTCTTTGCAATACAGTTCCCTAATAAAAAACAGTAGCTAAATATGCCTCTTTCCAGGGGTTCACACATGACTATGCCAAGTTGTAGTCAATGTTGCTATGGTCACAGGCAGCTCTAGAAGGTTATCTCTTCTGGGGTCCATGAACTAATGTACCAGGACTGACTGGGAAACCTCTTTAGAGAGAGCCTCCGGCTCCAGAAGAGGAACAGCAGCCTCAGTGCCAGGAAGAAGCAAACAATAGAAGGAAAAACCTATGGTGACATCATTTCAAATGAAGACAGATATTATGCTGTTGTTGCCAACTGCTGAGGGCTGAGGGCAGAAGGACCCAATAAGACAATCAAAGGTGAATTCCTGAACTGAGGAGTTCCTTGGCTTTTGATTATGCCATCTCCTGACTTAGTAAAGGTATT